GTCCCAGTACTCACCGACCAGAGCTCCCAGCATGAAGGGGGTCAGCTTCTTGAAGACGATGGAGTTACTGGGCTTGTTCCCCTCGAACACCTTCAAACCAACGAAGAAGAAGAAAGAAGCGTTGATGGTTTCTGAAGAGTCGCTCACAACATCAGAAACTGGTCATGTGACTGATCATGTGACTGCAGCTCTCACCTTATGAGGCAGCAGCTTCTCCAGAGCGTCTCCTCTCAGACCGCCGGCCTCCAGCTCTTTCCGGGCCTCCTCTGAAGTTTTCCCTCTCATCAGAGCTTCAGTCTGGGCCAGGAAGTTCGCCATCAGGATCTGAGAGACACAGAGACACAGACTCTGAGACTCTGAGCTGGACCTGAGAAAGGTGATCCAACACTGACTGATGAGCTGAGGAGTGAAGCTGAAGGTCCAACGTCAGAACTTCAGCCGGACTCTGCTGGAAAACCTTTAATCTGGACTCTAACCCCTTCGGTTCCTCCTCTTTACTCTGAGCTGACAGGAACTAAAGGGTTAAAGGTCAACATGGTCCAGGAGTCCAGACTGTTCTCAGGAAAGATCAGGGTTCGGTTCTGAATGTTCTAAAGTCTGAACCTCTGACCCGAGGAAGTTCTCAGGTGAGACCAGGAAACATCGAAACTATCTGGAACCTGCAGCTCAGGTGTGACCGCACACAGGTGAGCTCAGGTGAACAGGAAACGTCTGAGTCAGATAAGATCAGAGCCGGCGAGGGGGCGGTACCTTATGATGGAGGTTGTTTCTGATTGGATGCTGAGACTGAGCAGGAATGAGGAAGTCAGCTGGAATCATCCTGGTTCCTGGAGAGGACACGAGTCAGTGAACGCCACACGGATAAACATCAGAGAGTGTGTGTGTGTGTTTTAGTGAGTGTGTGTTTGTCTGACCCTGGTGGATCAGCTGGTAGAAGGCGTGCTGCCCGTTGGTCCCCGGTTCGCCCCAGACGATGGGTCCGGTGTGATAGTTGACTCTGCTGCCGTCTTTAGTGATGTACTTCCCGTTAGACTCCATGTCGCCCTGAAGATGACATCAGAGAGGTCAGACCAGCTCCCGGACCGGACCAGAACCGGCCCATCAGAACCAGCTCTGAGCAGAGACCCGGTCTGAGAGGGTTCGACACTGACCTGTTGGAAGTAGGCGGCGAAGCGGTGCATGTACTGGTCATACGGCAGCATGGCGTGAGTCTCGGCCTGGAAGAAGTTGACGTACCAGATTCCCAGCAGGGCCAGGAGAACCGGAACGTTCTGCTGCAGCGGGGCGCTCCGGAAATGGTTATCCTGCAGAGAGAGAGAGAGAGACGAGTCAGCGCTCAGATCTCAGTTCAGATCAGGATCAGGGTCAGTGATCCGGTCTCTGCTCGCCTACCATCCAATGAGCTCCGGAGAGAAGCTGCTCGAAGTTCTCGAAGCCTGGAACACACAAGGGTCAGAGGTCAGAGGTCAGACTCATCAGTTCATAAACATGCTGACTCATTAGATCATGAACATGCTGACTCATAAGTTCAGGAAAATGCTGACTCATCAGCTTATGAACATGCTGACTCATCAGTTTGTGGACATGCTGACTCATCAGTTTGTGGACATGCTGACTCATCAGTTGGTGAACATGATGACTTATCAGTTCATGAAAATGCTGACTCATTAGATCATGAACATGCTGAGTCATAAGTTCATGAAAATGCTGACTCATCAGCTTATGAACATGCTGACTCATCAGTTGGTGAACATGCTGACTCATCAGTAATAAACATGCTGACTCATTAGATCATGAACATGCTGACTCATAAGTTCCTGAAAATGCTGACTCAAGTTCATGAAAATGCTGACTCATCAGTAATGAAAATGCTGACTCAAATTCATGAAAATGCTGACTCATCAGCTTATGAACATGCTGACTCATCAGTTGGTGAACATGCTGACTCATCAGTAATAAACATGCTGACTCATTACTTCAGGAAAATGCTGACTCATCATTCAGCTGAGCTCCTGTATTAACAAACATGTGCAGGACTCTGCACTCTCTCAGGGTTCTGGTCAGACCAGGTTCTGAACCAGAATCAGAACCTCTTCACGGACCCCGAGTCTTCAGTCAGTCCGTCAGTCTTTATCAGAACCCGCCCCGCTGTGAGTGAGAGTTAGACGTACCTACATGCAGAGCGATGGACAGACCGATGGCCGACCACAGAGAGTAACGACCTCCGACCCACTGAGGAGGAGGAGGAGGAGGCGGGGCAAACATGACATCACACAGTCAGTCCACCAATCAGAGAGCAGCAAGAAAAACCAGCAAGACTCAGAGTTAGTTCAAGATTAAGAGCCGGGATTATCAACGGAGCGTCCTTCACTACACACACACACACACACACACACACACACGGACAGATACACACACACACACACACACACACACACACACACACACACAGACAGATACACACACACACACACACACACACACGGACAGACACACACACACACACACACGGACAGATACACACACACACACACACACACACACACGGACAGATACACACACACAGATACACACACACAGATACACACACACACACACACAGATACACACACACACACACACACTTACGTCCCAGAACTCGAACATGTTTTCCGGGTCGATCCCGAAGTCCTGGACTTTGACCTGCAGACAGAGACAGTTTGAGGTTCTGAGGAGACACTCTGTCATCACACAGAACCTTCCAGAACCTTCCAGAACCTCTGATCCGTAAACTGTATATATGATGGACAACTTGGCTCCGCCTCCCGTCATGTGACCAATTTGAAGCCGAATTTCTCCCCGTGTTTCTGGAGACTCAAAACAGCTCCATTCAGTTTGATAGAGGGGGCGGGGTTTATGAGCTATACTGCAGCCTGTCACCAGGGGGCGCTGTTCTCATCCAGCGAGGAGGCAGATGGCGTCCGTTCTACATACAGTCTACGGTTCTGAGCAGACTCAGGTGAGCCGCCTGATGATTGGCTGAGCTCAGGTAACAGACTCAGGTGTTCAGGTGTGAAAGTGTCACTCACCGAGTTGGTGGAGAGCGCCACGAAGTGTTTGGCCACCGCCGATTTCTGAGGAGGGAGAGAGAGAGCAGGACAGTGATGAGACACACATGCACGCACACACGCGCGTGCACACACACACACACACACACACAGATCCTTGACTCACATCGTTGGCGCTCTGCAGGAGCCATTCTTTGGCGGACTCTGCGTTGGTGATGGTCTCCTGCGTGGTGAAAGTCTGAAACAGACGAACAGAGCGAGGTCACGTCAGGGTCGAGGTTTGAACGACTGCGTCTGAGCGGATTTGAAAGATGGCGGCCACCTTAGACGCGATAATGAAGAGCGTGGTCTCTGCGTTCAGCTGAGCGAGGGTCTTGGCCATGTGAGTCCCGTCGATGTTTGAGACGAACCAAACGTTTGGACCGCCTGCTGAGTACGGCTTCAGAGCCTCCGTCACCATCAGAGGGCCCTGAACGCAACACAGAAACGACAACGAAACCTGAGACACCTGAACACACCGCAAACAGGCGGGCCGAGGGGAGGGTCAAAGGTCACGACAACTTCTCAGGTTTTTACTTCAACAGGTTCGTTTCTGTTAGCTGGACAAAAAAACGGAGAGTCTCCAGGAGTCAAAGGTCACGAAAACTCGCCTGGACTCCGCCTCCTCTGAGTCTCAGAGTTGACTCACCAGGTCGGAGCCCCCGATGCCGATGTTGACCACGTCGGTGATGTTCTTCCCAGTAAAACCTTTCCACTCCCCGCTGCGCACCCTCTGTGGAAAACACAGGGTGAACCTCTTTATTAGAAAACAGATGAAATCCTTTAAAATATCAGGAACCATAAACGTTAAAAGGCCTTTTAAGTCCGTCTGAAAGTCTTAAAACTCTCGATCATCTTTAAGGTCTGAGGAATCATGAGACGACTCTGTAAACTCGGGTTTAAGAACCGTCTGAAAAACTGTAGAAAGAGTCTAAACACTAAAAACATCATAATACTCAAACAAAAACACTTTAAAAAACTTCTTAAAACGTGTAAAAATAATCGTCTTTTTTACAAACTGATAAACTGAAAACTGTTAAAGAAGTTTTCAGCCGCTGGACAAAAACGTTTGGATTCTGTTAAAAAAAACTTTAAACACTTTCAAGTCTAAACAAATTTATGAAAAAAAGGTTTAAAACAGTCAAAACTTTTGAACTGTTTTTAAAAAAAAACAGTAAAAACAAAAATTTATTTTAAATAATTTAAAAAAACTCCGATCACTGCTGAGAAAAAGTCCTGAAACTTAATTAAACTCAAACGGCTCCAAACTCTGGATCCACGTCTTTAACTTAAAACCCACTTAAGTTCAGTCTACACTGTAAAAAATGAAGCTCATACTGACGTGACAGAACGCCTTCATCTTGTCCAGGACGCGGTTCACCTCCGGCATCACGTCTTTACCGTCCACCTGGATCGGCGTGTTGGAGCGATTACGCAGCGCGATGTGGAGCACCGCACGACCCTAACACACACCCATTAAAAATACACACACACACACACACACACACACACACACACACACACACACACACACACAGTGACACAGCGTCAGTATCATCACTGTTCTTACGTCTGTCAATCATCTGAAGGTGGCTTCTATTATAGAGATTTTTGCACATAGATGTTTACGTTAGAAACACGTAAAGAACCAAAACACAGATCAGCTGATGATCGAGGTCTCAATCACTGATCAATATCTGAAACCTGAAACCTGTTTTCACTCAAACTGCAGAGTCACTGAGGCGGCGCTTACACAACCGCATTACATCACAGCCGCTCTGTGTGTGTGTGTGTGTGTGTGTGTGTGCGTGTGTGTGTGTGTGTGTGTGTGTGTGTGTGTGTGTGTGTTTGTGCGTGTGTTTGTGTGTGTGTGTGCGTGTGTGCGTGTGTTTGTCTCAGTCAGTCAGTGTGATG